AGGTTTTTTTTTTTGGGTGTCCACAAAACACTTATGCAAGCTTCTAGATTTTTTTCTTTCTTTTCTTGTCTTGATCATCTTCTGATTAAGGATGTCTCTTATTGCTAGTATTTCTAGCTCATACTTATATTGGCGTTAACTGTATAAAGCTACCCCATCTATTATGGCTGCTTTGGATTTTTCGGGCATCTTGAGAGTTTCCTTTATGGATCTTTCATTCTGCTTTTACCTCCCAAGTGGCTCTTTCTTTCCCCTTCTTGGCCCATGTTAAGTTAATCATGTTTATTGGGGTTTCAGGGAAGGGATCCGTGTCAATCATCATGTTAACCTGAAGTTTTTCTAATAACAACTTTCCCTTAATGATGAGATCTTGCACCTAGTCTCTAAATTGGACACGGTTGGTGATGAAGTGGTTGAAGGTGTAGTGCAGCTTGCAATACTTTTTCCCTTTCAATTTCTTGGGCTTATGTAGTTTTTTAGTGTTATCGGGCAAAATTACCCTTGCCCGTACCAATTCCTCATAGATTTATGTGACCTTGGTTAAGTCAAAGGAATAGTTATGGTATTTTGGGGGTTTTATGGGAACAAATCCTCCGTCGTTAATCATCACCTTTTGATCTTTGACCGGTTGGACTAATCATTTCACCATCAAAGGTTTAAAGGGAGGGGTCATCTCTACTGTACACATGTCTATTGCTTCTCTTCTATGACCATCATTTTCTTTTAGCTCTCCCTCAAACTCCACTTGGTGAATGGCTGCCTTACTTTTGTAGAAATGTGACGTTTTAGAAAAGTGCTTCAATTGCTGTTCTTCGAGCAACAGCTTCTCATACTTAGTGGCCGCAATCACCAGCTCTTGCAGCTCATTAAATTGTACGTCATAAAATTTCTTCCTCAAGGGTAGTCTCAAGGCCTTCTGAGTAATAGTTATAAGCTGGACATGGTTGATAGGAAACTAGCATCTTATCCTTGTCCTCATAAACCTCATAATGAAGTATTCGGTATATTCATGCTCGTATTGTTTTACCTCGACTAGATTGTTAATGGTCATATCTGGCTCCATTCTGTAAAACTGTTCGTGGAAAGCCATTTCCATTTGCCCCCAGTTAGCGATGGAATTTGGGGGCAACAGAGAATACCATTGAGACGCTAAACCCACCAACGAGTTCTCAAATAATCTCAACTTATAGTTAGGATTGTCTTCAAATGCCACACAATGGTTGAAGAACTTGAAGATGTGATCTCTAGATGACACATTATTATCTTCTCCGCTGAATGTTGCGAATACGGGCATTTTAAAGTTAAGAGGAAATGGATTCTGCTCATCAATGAACTCCGAATAGGGATTTTGATAGGCGATTCTAAACAGCGGGCGAGCTTGTGGCTGGGCATTCCTCACCACCATCCTTCTTAACTCAGTTAACTTATCTCTGAGTTGTTGATTAGCTGTATTATTTGGCGGGGTATGATGAAGTGGTTCCCACTTCGGGCTATGATCGTTGCCTGAGTTAATCTTTTTTTTTTGCATTGGGCTTCCTCTACTTGAACTCTCCTCCTTTATTAGTCATTGGTGGTGACCTATAAAGAGAAGGCTTGTCAGTGTTGGTACGCTGCAATTTCCTACTAGATTCCCCGATCTACTGGGGCATCCTATAGTTTGTTATTTCTTGCCCGCTTTGCCCCCTACTGTTTAATGAAAATAGGGGGTCGGGCAACTCTGCTTCCAGAATTTCTTCTAATACTGGCTGACTAGCTCCAGATTCTTTCTTGTTCTTTCCTTTTTCCCTCTTTTCCTCAAGTGAAGGAAACAGAGGAATAACTGGCTTCTCCACAGGGCTGGCTTCTCTCATCATTTCTCTAGCATGATCATTTCCTGGGGTACCGTATTCCAGATCTAACCTTTTTTGTAGATTTCCTATTAAGGAACGGAGTCTGCTAATTTCCTCTCTTGTCTCTAGAAAGTTTCTCTCCAAGCTTTTAGAGTTTTTCTCCATGCTTTTCAAGACATCTATCATGGTAACATGCAGGTCTTCATTTGTGACCTTCCCTTCTGATTTCTCAGAAGAAGTCGGGCTTTCAGTCAAGATAGGTCCTTGTAAGTCTTCGGGGAGATTTGTTATGCCAGATCTCGGTATATATTGGGGTGGTTTCTGTTTTGCTCCCCTTCTGAAAGTTTGTTCTTTCCTTTGTCTTCTTGGCATACAAGATTTGTGGTCCCATCGAGCATGCTAAAATTATGTTCAGGCAGGAAATCTGGCTGAACGAGGTCTTTGGCTTGAGCACACAACTCCCCGAGGAGTTGGCACTTTGGTTGATTGTCGGGCTCCGGCTTGCCGAGATGCTGCAAGAGGAGAGCAAAGTTAGTTTTGAAAGGTGTCTTTGTAGGGCCTTAAGTATAAGCCTTAAAGCTCGCAATAAAAACTAAGTGCTAAGGCATGCCACTGCCATTTCTATATGGCAAATGTAGAATAAGTGTTTTTAATTCGATTACTTGCGCCCCAAGTTATTATGACTTCTTGTTATCAAAGGATTGTTGTAGATGGGTTAAGTCTACATTAAGTTCTTTTCTATGCCTTGAGATCAAGAACTTTTAGTTCTTTATCTTGTATGCTTAAAGGGTGGAGATCCAAATCTAATCAAGTAATCAGTTTTAACTCACTTTTAATCTTCTTATGACAATAAAACCATTAAGTGAAACAAATCTGAGAACTGATGGAACTTTGGATCATCAAAAGAATGGAAATGACTTGAATATATACTAGGGAATACATTACAACAACATATTTATTAATTGAAAGACAAAACAAAGAGAGGTGGGCAAGATTTCACCTTGTCGGGCAAGGTTAAACGTCTTGCAATCTCTTTGTTGTAGTTCTAAAAGGTTAAGTACTGAAAAATGGATGAGTGGTAAATGAGTTTACACAAGAGAATCGATACTACAACATTTGGAGAAGGTAACATAGCTTTTACATGGACAAAAGATACCTTTTTAAATGAAGCCTAAGGCTAAAAGGGTGCAGAATCTGAACAAAGCACAGCTTTCTGGATATTTGCTTGACTGAGAGGCAAGTTGTATGTTTGTTTGTTTGATTGGTTGAGTGTCCTTGTCTCTGGGCCCTCTTCCCCTATTTATAGGCGAATTAGCCCGGCTGCACCATTTCTACTCTTATCCGAAAACAACTTAAGAGTAGTGAGTCATCAACATTTTTACATGTTCTGCCATTCGGAAAAGTGCTTTTGGGCCGATAGTTGGTTGATTTCCATCGGTTGTCACTTCTCTTGCAAGCACCTAACCTTTGCATTTAATGGGGAGCCATCATATTGTTTAGAGATGGGTATTTGGGCTTGGTGCTGGGCTTTGGGCAAAACCTCATTTATTGAGCTTTTTTGGGTTTTTCTTCCCTTGAAGTTTTAAGTTAAATATTAACCCAAACACTTGGTAAATTAGATTACTAGTTGAGGTCCTAATATTGATTATATGACAGGTTGAGGAATGCCTTGTGTCGGTTGAGGAATGTTTTGAAGCCGATGAAGTCCTTTCTACTAGAAATGATGTCTTATTACCTGTGCGCAGCATAACTTACCTATGTGAAAAGTGATTTACTTACTTCTTTTGTCTTACGATCAGTGTAATGTGCTCATAATTTACATATCTTTGACTTGCTACTAGAGTAGAGTTATTACTTCTTCTTTTCAGGGTGTCTTACCTTGAAACTGGACCCGGTGGTGTCGTGTCTTAGAAGATGCACCGGGCGCTTTCAAATATATAGATGGGTCTTATAATTCGGTGGGACAGTAACCTTGAAGTATGAAGGATCCATCATCGACGCAGAAACTTGACAGATTTGTAGAACAAATAGACGACGTAGTTTGTTCACCAAATGTATAAGTCCAACATAATACCTCGTCAATTTGATCTCTGAGCCTCTTCTAACATAATAAATAACGATATTACCAGACGAATAGCTATTCGGTAATGCCTTTCGAGTTTGATAATTTTTGTAATAAGTTACATACATGTGTGACACATATGAGGTGCAATCTTTCATGTTTCATTTTCTGTGCAACTTCTCTCCTCATCTATCCTCTCCCAAGATGAAATCTTCATCTTTCATCTTATGTGGTGGGCATTTTTGGCCATGGACCATGATTGACGAGTTCAAATCTTATGCATCTAAAACTATTTGTGGCCACTCTACGTATCACGAATTGATTTCTATTCACTCTAATTAAATTAGGTTTACTTTTTTCTCATGGTCTAACCTGGCATCCTGAACGTTTCAAACTTTTTTGTCATACATGGTAATTTTAAGTTTTATCAACCTTGTCATGTACATTTCATTTTAAGTGTGGTTTTCTATTTCAAAACACTAGGGACAACTTTTCTTATTAAAAACATTTTAAATATTGTAAGGAGAAAAACAAAAATAAAACCACACTTAAATTCAAACAAAAAATTTAATAATAAAAAAATGTCCTCAATAATGACACAAGTTGCTTTTTTTTAATTAAAAAAAATTAATAATAAAAAAATGTCCTCAATAGTGACACAAGTTGCTTTTTTTTAATTAAAAAAATTTAATAATAAAAAAATGTAGACAAAATAATGATAAAGAAAAATACAGTGTCACCCTTATTTTGCATCTCACATATTTCTTGTTAATTTTTGTCGTTTTCAAAAAAAAAAATTTCATGCATTTTATTTTTATTAAGGAGAGGGGAAGGTTTGAACTATAATAATTTAAAAGAGGAAAATTTCTAATATGAGATACATAAATGAAAACCTAAATTCATTCACTCAACTGTTAAAAATTAAATAAGATAATAGATATGAACAATAAAAAAAATGTGTAGATAGGGTATAATAGTTTGTTGGTGCGAGTATTTTTTTATTAACTTTTTAGTGTAATAAGTAAGTCAACGGGCACTATGCTGGGATCCCTCCCCCGTCCTTAGCAATTTGGCGTTATATAAATGTCACCCCATCACCCATCCTTCTCTGCACTTTTGGTACTCTGTCTTTGTATAACAATCCCACCTCTCTCTCTCTCTCTCTCTCTCTCTCAGATTTCTCTCTCTTGCTCAAATTCTGGGTTGTCCGAGATTTCGAGGCAGGCATACAGACAACATCAACCATGATTCAAAAGACAATACGCTTTCATAAGTTGGTTCGGTCTCTTGGAGTGGGTTCTTCTTTATCTCCATCATTCAAGGTTAATCTTTCGTTAAATTTCTCTGTTTTTTATTTCCTCTGTTTTCGATTTCCCTTGTTTTAGATTCCATGTTTTATTACATTGTTTTAATATCAATTATATATCTTATTAATATTTCATTCAAAAAATATCATCTCTTCTCCTTCCAATCTTTACGTCTTCTCTCATCCCCTTGCCCCATCCCACCCAACTGTTTGAGAAGAAATTTTTAGTTGTGACCGGAACAGAAATGGTACACTACATGATTTAATAGGAATAGTAAGAAATTTTATTTTTTATATTATTAACTTTTTAGCACATATATCTCATCATTTATTTAATAACATGTAATATATTATCCGTTTACCGATCACATTAAAAAATCTCTTATGTTTGAGAGCATAGCAATTGGGTTGATTTGCCTTTTGCTCAGAAAAATCAGCTTCAGCAGTGAAAATCTGAACGGCAATTGCAGGGCTTTGGCAGCTGCCCTGCCAGTTCTTGCAAGGGCATGCGCCTGCTTGGAGAAGCATCAGACAAGGTGGAGGCCCACCCCACTTGAAGGACCAGAGCAAAAAAATTCCTGTTATTTTTTTATTTTTATTTTTTTAAACAAACAATATTATTTATACCAACTGAAAATGAAATAAGTTTAACCTTATAATGGGCTGATAAAAATGTAGTTCAAATTAGATTTTGACGAAAATCATACTTAAAACTTCTCACTTACAAGTGAAGAAAAATATCACTAAACTGTAGTACTAAATGATCTCTTAATTTTTTTAGTTGGACTTCCAATGTTAATTTAATTTGGTGGACAAAAGGTTATAAATATATTATTAAATCGAATATTTTAATCTGCAACTTGCATCTTTATCAACGGCCACAATTATTCTAAAAGTATAAAATTTTAAAAAATTACTAAAAAATGCTAATTTAATGTTAATTTAATGTGGTTTACAACTAAATGTAATATAACAGAATATTTTAACGTACGATGTTATATTACATTTAGTTGTATTAGTGAATTCTAATTCTGTTAGACAAGTGGTATACAATGTGGTCCTAACTAAGAATGTCCAAAGGAATTGACAAATTTTTCTTTAAAAATGTATCACTCTTCAACAAACTCTTAAAATTTTTCTTTAAAAATGTATCACACTTCAACAAACTCTTTAAATTTTATGTTTCAACTTAAAATATTAATATTCTAACTTTATTTAATCTTGTGGGGCTGAAATTTTATTTCCAAACTCTTCACTAGATAATAATTTTAAATAAAATATATTGCAGAGCTCAAATTTCAATAGATGTCTTTTACATCTAACCAAAAAACCTTTATAACTTTTTAATGGCAGTCCCAAAACAGTTTAAAATGTATTTTTCCTACCCGGCGTAACAAAGTTAACTTTACTATCTAAATGCTATTTCTCTTAAAGATGCTATAATACGATCTCCTTAGGATTACTCTTCATTTCATGATTGCCGACACAAGTGTATTTTCTTTAGAATAATTCTAAAGAGATTACATTTGTAAATAAAACTTTACAAACAGAACGATGTGTCATCACGAATAAAAAATAAGCACGTTTATCAATATTTAAGTAATAATTTAATTATTAACTTTCATGTCATGTAACTTATAAATTTCGTTTAAAAATTTAGTTTTCCGAATCACTCATTTGATTAGTCAGAATCACATCGAGTCATTTTCTTTGGTTAAAATACACTTGGCCAGCCGTCCCTTCTGTATCATTAGCTGTCAAAGATGATTATTTTTCTACTTTTAATCCTTTTTTATTCTAATTATTTGTCCTGTCTATAATTAGAAGTCATGGTTCTTATCAAGAATAAAATAAAACAGCTTCCAAAAAAAATAAAATAAAATAAAATAAAACAGAAGCCAGCATTCCTGCTATACTTTTTTTTTTATAGGATTCTCTTGAACAAGAAAAAAACTATTGTTTTCCAAACGTAAACTCATCATCTTTAAGCATCCAAATAAAAACAAAAATTGAAATTGTTGGCCCATAATTCTAAATTATTTACAACTTATTTCACATCCCGATCCGGGTTCACCACATTTCGGGCTCGTTCTACCGCCGTAGCACAATATTGTCCGTTTTGGGCCCCGACTACACCCTCACGGTTTTGTTTCTGGAACTCACACGAGAACTTCTCAGTGGGTCACCCATCATGAGATTGCTCTTGCGCACTAATCGCTTAACTTCGGAATTCCAATGGAACCCAGCCAGCGAGCTCTCAAAAGGCCTCATGTTAGGTAGGGATGATAATATACATTTAAGGATCACTCCCCTAGGTGATGTGGGATGTTACAATTCACCCCCTTAGGGGCCCGATGTCCTCGTCAGCACACTTCCGACTAGAGATTGGCTCTGATACCAATTTTCACATCCTGACCCGGGTCCACCACATACCGGGCTCGTTCCACCACTGTAGCACAATATTATCCGCTTTGGGCCCCGACTACGCCCTCACGGTTTTGTTTCTGGGAACTCACACAAGAACTTCCCAGTAGGTCACTCATCATGGAATTGCTCTTGCACACTACTCGCTTAACTTCGGAGTTCCGATGGAACCCGAAGCCAGTGAGCTTTCAAAAGGCCTCGTGCTAGGTAGGGATGAAAATATACATGTAAGGATCACTCCCCTGGACGATGTGGGATGTTACAACTTATGCCATAATAACCTAATTATGTTAATCAATCATATTATTACCTACAATAATAGTGAATCTGGTTGAATTTTAATAGGCATGATTTCAGGTTTTTTTATTCTTAGAAAATTCTTATTTCCTTCTAGCTTTTTACTTTTTTTAAGCAATCTAACGTTTTAAAATTCAAATGGTAGGTGCACTATTTGTGGGAGTGAAAATTCTTATTACAAATATTTTTGTATTAATTAATTTACCTTTATAATTTTTTTACGATTACCTAATATGCCTAATATATATACATGTTTTTTATTTTATTTTTTTATAAAAAATAAAACATGCCTAATATATGTAATGATACATGCTAAATAAGTTACCTACGAAATGAATGAACGTTAAGGAAACATGCCTCTAAATAATACAAGCAGATTATGAAAATTATATGTTACACATGAATGCAGATAAACACACACACACACACACACACACACACACACATATATATATATATTGATTAAAAAATAAAGCATGCCTAATATATGTAAAAACTTATGCAAAATAATTTAACTACAAAATAAAGAAATGTTATTTGACTTAAAATTAATTTACTTATATTTTACATAAAAATCTAAGTCAACTATTTGCACATAAATTAATAGGCCAATTTTTTTTTGTGATCCTTGTGATGATACCCTACTTTTAAATAGACCCATGTGGTGAAAAAGCTATTAATTGTAATTCTGTGGTGAAATTCGTTATCAATCATAGTCCAAATTGGATTTTTCCTCATTCTTCTGTCATTTGTAGGGGCAAAATCGTTATTTTCGTTTTTATTGATTCCATCAACCAATCATAAAGCGTCATATGGACATTTTTTTTAACTTTTAGAACTACAATAAAAGAATAAATAAATATTACAAGGTTTATATTATCAAATTTTCTCATTTCAAGAGAGCCAGGAGTTCAAATTCAAGATTTAAAAAATCATAAAGCACCTCGTTGCGTTTAGGTTAGAATATAAGTTATTATGCAAACATTGAATTTAGTTTCATTTTGTTATTATGCAAACATTGAATTTAGTTTCATTTTAAGAACAATGGTGGATGGGATGGCTAGGGTTATGTGAGAGAGAGGGGGGAAGGTGGTGGGTGGGCTGTGGCTTACAAGGGTAGGGATTGGGGAGGGATTTCTTCTTTGTTTTTTCTTCTTCTATGTTTGTTGATTATAAAAAAGTAGAATTACCAAAAAGAAAAGAAAAAAAATGGAATGACATTTTTACCCCTGCATGTGGATGAGATTTTGACATAAATTTCATTTTGGACTATGATTGATAACAAACTTCACTACAGAGTTAAGATTAACACTTTTTTCACCACATGGGTCGATTTAAAAGTAGTGTCTCACCATATTTAGCCAAATTAATAATACATGCTAAACATGCTTAATATGTCTAATAAAGTTATTAGGCATATTAGGCTAAGCCAATTGTTAGACATATTGAGCATCTCCAAAAGAGATGTTAAAGAGTTCACATCAGGAATAATGATAAAAAAAGACATCACTGGTGTTTTCCAAACGAAATGTCAATTCTTATGTGGAATGACACGGAAAGGCAGCAGAGAAAGTTGTCAAATTTGACGCTCACATTGTAACACAGTATCAAAACAATCTTATTGATTACAATTGCATGTATCATGTGTTTAATGTTTTCCTTGTTGGAATTTATTAGGTTTATTTAGGAAATTAATTAGAGATTTGATTTGATTTTGTAGTAGGGTATTTTTGGCATTTACGCATTAGGGTTTCTTAGGTTTATTGCTCTATAAATAGAGCTTGTAATTTAGTTTGAGATCAATTCATTCACAATGTAGTCTCTTAGGGTTTTGTAGCCGTTTCGGCATTCTCGTTTGTTTAATAATATTCCTATTATTTTGTAGTCTTGTTTGTTGCGCACTCTGATATTCAACTTGGTATCAGAGCGGGTTCGATCCTTAGGGTCCAATCCGTTCTTGTTGGTATCAATTTGTTTTGTCGCATTTTGTTTTTGGGTTTAGTTTTGGTCTCGTTTAGGCTTTGCTTCCGCTTTGCTCTGTGTCCCTTGTTCTTGGTCACTCTGTTTGGCCTCGTTTAGGCTTTCCCTTCTGCAGTTTGACTTTTCACTAGAGTTGTTATGTCGGCTGCAATCCCTTTATTTTGCAAGACTTGTTTGCTGCATCATTTGGTTTTGCGATCTGGAGAAGACCCCAGGTCATAAGAAAAGGAAAAAAGTATGGCTGGTTTGAGGCTTAGGCCCACACGGGCAAAGAAAAAATATGGTTTTGAATATGGTTTTTTGTTTGTTTGTTCGGAAGTTGGAATTTACACTGGCATTGGAATCTTGCACTTGCACCGGTGAAATCATTGGCATTGGAATCGGCATCGGCATTGGAATTTGGAGGCTTGCATCCACATCTGCTTGTTGGCAAACTCATGTCGTGTACCGCCATGAGTTTGACGGGGGGTGTTGGAATTTATTAGGTTTATTTAGGAAATTAATTAGAGATTTGATTTGATTTTGTAGTAGGGTATTTTTGGCATTTACGCATTAGGGTTTCTTAGGTTTATTGCTCTATAAATAGAGCTTGTAATTTAGTTTGAGATCAATTCATTCACAATGTAGTCTCTTAGGGTTTTGTAGCCGTTTCGGCATTCTCGTTTTTTTAATAATATTCCTATTATTTTGTAGTCTTGTTTGTTGCGCACTATTCAACTTTCCTGATATCTATTTTCTCGTGTTAATTAGAATCTTGGAGTTTACTGTTGCTTCGGATCTGTAGCTAAATCGAATGCAGAACAAGCATGTGATCCATTTGAATACAGGTATGATTAGTAATGCCTCAAAATTTGGTCGCTTTAAAATTTCTTGTATACCAAGTTATCGTTCATATATAAATGCTTGAAGTAATTCTGCGATATTATAAAAAGCAACTAGCTACTGGTTACCTTGGTAGGTCGACCCAACATTATATGAACACAAATATGGTTGACGAAAACAATGAACTAAAGAATTGAAGATTACATGCTCGAACACATGGCGGCTTTCGTGTTTTTCTTCAGAACATTTGGTTGTCTATGCAATCTAATTTGTATGTTTTTTGATGTCTCTGCATTATTTGTGCAGCTATGATCTTGATAAGCATGAGTATGCTGATGTAGATTGGGACAATCTCGGATTTGGTTTAGTGCGAACTGATTACATGTACATTATCAAAACTTCCAACGACGGGAAATTTGAAGAAGGCCAACTTAGTCGTTATGGAAATATCGAACTTAACCCTGCTGCAGCAGTTTTAAATTATGGACAGGTAAGATTTTCAATCGAAATTGGTTAAAATACGCTTGAGATATAGGCTTATAAGATGGATTTTTGTTTTGGGGAAAACATAATTAGATTTCGAGAAGTTGAATAAGGCTGACTTAATGTAAACAGGCAATATATGAAGGCACAAAAGCATACAGGAAGAGAGATGGGAAACTCCTCCTCTTTCGTCTAGACCAGAATGCGATGCGGATGAAGATTAGCGCGGAAAGAATGTGCATGCCTTCACTGTCAGTTGATCAATTCATTGATGCTGTAAAGCAAACAGCTCAAGCAAACAAGTGTTGGGTAATTTCCATTTTCATTTTGCATCGGAAACTTTACTTGTTTTCGAGTTAAATCTCTTCTTGGAGAATGGAAATTGTGTATAAATTATTTACAAGTTTACAAATCTGTGCGGTGACTGAAAACAGGTTCCTCCTCCAGGCAAAGGGTCTTTGTATATTAGGCCTCTACTTATAGGAAGTGGCCCCATATTAGGCTTGGCACCATCACCTGAGTACACATTCCTTGTATATGCTTCCCCGGTCAGAAATTATTTCAAGGTTAGTAATACGCTACTTTCATGCAAAAGCGAGCGTTATATTTGTCAATTATAGTAAGATTTATATGCTTGCTATTGTTTTAATAGGAGGGCTCTGCACCCTTGAACGTATTTGTCGAGGAGGAGTATGATCGTGCCTCTCGTGGCGGAGCTGGAGGTGTCAAAAGCAGTACCAATTATGCCCCGGTAGGCAGAATAATTACGACCGTTTTGCATTAGGGTTTTCATGTGTTACTACCTGTTGTAACTTATAACCTGTACTGGATATACGTAGGTTTTGAAGGCACTAACCAGAGCAAAAAGCAGGGGATTTTCGGATGTTCTATATCTCGATTCGGTACACAAGAAAAATCTGGAGGAGGTCTCTTCTTGCAACATTTTTATTGTGAAAGGCAATATAATTTCAACTCCTGCCACGTCGGGGACTATTCTTTCGGGAGTTACTCGAAAAAGCGTTATTGAAATAGCTCGTGATCATGGTTACCAGGTGACTTTCCGTGCCAGTTGATTACACCATTGCTCATCTCCCTTATGGACTGATTCTAACACTGCCCTCCAAATGCGTTTAGGTCGAGGAACGTGTTATTCCGGTGGACGAATTGAGTGAAGCCGATGAAGTGTTCTGCACTGGAACTGCTGTTGGTGTTGCTCCAGTGGGCAGCATTACTTACAAAGGCCAAAGGTGCTAGTAGACCTACCCTCTGCACCTAAGTTTAAATTCTCGTCTCTGTATTTGGATTAGATTAGAATATCGCTCGAAGAAAAATATACTTATACTCATGTGCAGGATGGAGTACAAAACGGGTGCTGAGACTGTATGTCCACAACTTTACTCAACCCTAGTAGGAATTCAAACGGGACAGATTGAGGATAAGAAAGGCTGGATTATGGAAATCGACTGAGCTCTTTTTTACCCACCACAACATTTCAGATTAAAAACTACTGTGGATCCGTTGTAAAAAGAAAAAATTGCTGTCATGATCCACACTTTGCCAATTGTACAGACTGCAGAACTCTTTTTTTTTTGGTTTGCCAGTTTATCAGTTTTTTGTGTTCAATTTATCTTAGATTATCATCTCAAAATTTTTTTCTTTTTGATTATTCATTAATGCTGCCACATATTATAATGCTGCCACATGGTATTATCAATTTATATAGAGAGCTGTTATTAGCACTTTAAATTTTTTATTTTACACTCCATACAAGTGTAATTTTTTTTACTAATTATAGAACATTTAGAGTGCAAAATGAGATTTTTGGTGTGCCAATAACAATTCCCTTTATATATTATAACTCGCAAATTTATAAATTAATACTATGAGGTCTAGGTTGAGGGATTTGATTGGAACTTATCTCAAACCAATCACTCGACACCATGCGAGAAACTTAAAACACATGAGTAGTGTTGTTGGTTTAGAATGTCAGAATAATGTCTCAAAGGATGTGTTCGTGTCAGGAATTTCCATCGGGGACGTTTCCTGGCCGACGAGCGCACAGCTCCCCAGGAGGTTGGCGCCGGTTGAGGGCTGCTGTCGGGCTTCTGCTTTTCTGTCGGGCTTCGTTGGGCAAGTCTTGTCGGGCAAGGCTCGTCGGGCAAGGCTGAAAGAGAAGGACAGAGTTAACTTTGAGAGGTGCCTTTGTGGGGCCTTAGGTGTAGGCCTTGAGGCTCACAATCAAGGTTAACTTTTAAGTACTCAGGCGTGCCACTGCCATCTTCAGCATGGCAGATGTGAAATGGATGTCGAGTTTTAGTTGTATATATGTATATACCCGAGAAACCGTGTTAGTTATGATAAGTGCCTTTGTGGGGCCTTAGGTGTAGGCCTTGAGGCTTCCTATCAATAACTAAACCATTGCTCGAACACATCATATTTATGCTCGTGAGTGCAGAAGTCTTATAACTATTATACTTCTGATTACCCGAGTTCGAGAGGTAGAATGAACCCAAATAGGTGCCTTTGTAGGGTATTAGATGTAGGCCTTGAGGCTTCCCATTAGAGTTCGTTCTTATACTCAAACGTTCTAGACCGCAGAACGGAATGAATCCAAATAGGTGCCTTCGTGGGGCATTAGGTGTAGGCCTTGAGGCTTCCCATCAGAATCCATTCCATGCTTACGCGTTCTATGATAATCATAATATAATAGACATAAGACTAAGAGGTAGGTCGATTACTTGCGCCCCAAGTAACTTCGGACTTCTCGTTTATCAAGGATTGTCGTGGATGGGTTAAGTCCACATAAGGTTCTTTTTTATGCCTTGAGGCCAAGGACTTTTAACTGATCAAATTTACATGCCCGAGGGCTTAGAACTTAGATCTGGTTTGAACAATGAATATATATTCAAATCGGATCCGAGTACTGAGAAAGCCTTTTAATAGTCATCTTGCTAGAAATAACTTGAATATAATTGGAAGTATACAACATATTGCTAGGCTAATGAATGAAAAGACAAAAACACAAAGAAGGTCGGACAAGGTTTAACCTTGTCGGGCAAGCCTGGTCGTCTTGCAGGTTCCTATCTTTATGGCTTATTAAGGGTCTGAGAGCTTTTTAGGGAGAGGTAAGGAGATGAGTTTTAAAGAGAAATCGATACTACAGCAAGGTTGAACAGGGTAGCAGAGCTATTACAAGGGTTTAAGTGAAGGCTTGTCCCGAGAGGGATGAAGGCTTGGGCTGACTACAGCTTCGTTCTGAAGGCAAATCTGGCTTTGAGCAGAGTTTGTGCTTGCATTTGTTTGTTTGTTTGAGTGTCTTAATCCTGATTTCTCTTTCTTCTTTTATAGACAACTCAGCTTAGCCTCTTATAGCAGCAGCCTTGCCCGAATGCAACTTGAGAGGCAGTGACTCATCAGTTATATTACTTGTTCTGCCATTATAAAGTACTTTATGGGCTGTATAGCTGGTCAGTCTATACCACTTGGCTTTTGGGTAGGTGAGCAAGTGGTCTTCATGAGCTGCACCAAGTCAGAAAAGCTTTTTTTTTGCTTTCTGGGCTTTTGGCTGGGCTTAGGCCGACTCTCCCTTTGGCATCCCTTTGGGCCAGCCCCTTTCCTGAGCCCAAAATTCAAGTTTTGATCCAAACAGTGCCCCCTTCAATTGATATTAAACCTGGAATTCCAGGCGCCAATATTAATTGAAAAGCTCCTTATTAAAACCTACGAACTCATTGCATTCGAAACCTCTAACCCCCTGTGTTCACGGTAAGAAATCCCTCTGTAACTTAAACGTTTCCTAATTCTCCCAGCTATTTCTTTAAATCCTTCAGACTCTTCTTGACATCCCCTTTTTAAACTTCATCAAATGGATTCGGGATCTAGCCAAACCCAACCATCCTACGTATCTGGCGAAGGAATCGTCACTCTACGTCGTCTACTCAACGGACTGCATCGCCCTCGGGCAGGCTTGCACTCCGAGCTCTTCTTTGAAGTGCATGGGGCACAATCATTGGGTCCCGCATGGATCTCTCGGGTCCCTTCAGTGGTAGAAAGCAACATGCCCAGGGATAACTGGTTTTCCCCAAATCCCTGTTTGGCTAGGTCGGGCATCTCCTCATCCAAATGGTCGTCATATCGTCGAGGCTTTCCTCTGATGAACGATCCGGCCTGGGCTCAGTGGATTGATAAATTAGAGCCCATCTTTAAGCAGAAATGGATGAGTAATGGTATTTATGAATTAATCATGCTCTCGAAAATTTCCATTACTCCCAAGCCATAATTGCTTGCTTCTGCCCTCATTTTCTGGAATTCGGGCACGAATACTTTCGACTTCCGCATGGGCCCCATGTCGCCAACCATTCTTGACATGGCCCAGGTCTTCGGGTTAAGGCCATCGGGCAGGATAGTGGACGTTACTCAAGACTGGGTTCCGTCCTCTATAGCTGGAAGCTCAGATTCATCCACTACTTTCCTTTCTTTGAACTATAACTCTGCAACTTTTAAGAGTTATGGGACCTCCTTCAAAGGCTTCATTCCTTTCGTAAAGGAAAATTTTAGGGCAAACTCTCCTCGGGTTGATAAAGATTAAAAGCACATGTATTTCCTCTTATACTGGCTTAACAAACATATCTTCCCCAACAAGTCTAAAGGGGTAAGGGTTGAGTGGATCCCCTTAGTAGAAGTTCTTCATAATTTCAATGATGTAGCTACAGGCCCATTCCTCATTTCTCATCTTTATCATCTCCTTTTCGAAATGACTCAAGGCGAGCCATTTGACCAACTTGAATGGGCCTATCTGGATGATACAAACTTGGCTTCAATGGTACTTCCCAGAGTTTCGGGCTGCCAATTTGGAGTTCCCGGAGGGTGTAGCCCCTGCCCGAATCTTGGCTGAAGCTGCCCCTATAGACCATTCCACCTTTGCCTGCTTCTACTTCTTCAGAGTTTGTAGGACTCGATCAGATTTAGAATGGGGTGCGTCGGTCTTGAGGAGATACCCTTGGTTTTCTGAACAAGTCTTTCAAGATGCTCCTGGTGAAGATGTTACCCCCTATTGTAGGGAGAAATTCATTAATTGTATTCAACCGAGAGACCTGGCCTGGGGAGTTCGGGGTAATAGATATGACCGAGGTTTGGAGGTGTATCATCCTAACTTTTGTAGCAGGCAGTTAGGATTCAGGCAGGCTATTCCCGTCCCGTTCTTCGATTCTATCCATTGTGGCACTTCATTTCGACTACCAAATCCCTCTGAGATGATCTTCCTCAACTCAACTTTGAATGTACCTCGCTCTTCTATTCTTGGTGGGAAGACAGATGGACCGGCGCAGTCTTGACGTAATGAGTCAGGCTGCCCGAAAGTCCATCATCCTCAACTTTGAATGTACCTCGCTCTTCTCTTCTTGGTGGGAAGACAGATGGACCAAGAAGTACGGATGAGACTTGAAAGAGACTCATGACCGCCTTTCAGTCAACTTTCTCTTAAGTCATACCCCGGCTCGGGCGAGCTTGAAAATTGGAAGGAGATAATACAAGAGAATAATCGATCACTTCTGATAGGTACTTCTCTTGTTATCTTGATTCTATTTCCCTTCTGAAGTCTTTCTAACCTTAATTTTGCTTGACCTCACAGCCTCAGTGGATGTTGAATCAGAAGCCATTGAGTCCGAGGATGACTCAGCGGATGCTACCGTTCTCTATGGCGCTGCAGCAAAGGCCGAGAGACAAGAAGCTGGGGAATGTGTGGATGTTTCGGAATCCTTTGGAGATTCAGGAGCTGAAGAAACACCCGAGGCAATTGTTAAAGCACTTAAGCGAAAGAAAGCGGCTGTGATCGAGGCGTCAGACCCTGATCCTGTACTTCTACCCAAAACCACACGACCAACTCTTACTAGAAAGAGTAAGAGAGCAAGAACTGTTGCTCATCCTAAGTCATCAGCCCTATTTGCTCCAGTCCCCGAAGCAGGCAGAAAGAAGCAACAATATTTAAGTAAGTCTCTGTTCTTCTTTACCAAACTGTTGCTTTTCTCCTTTATCTAATTGCTTCTTGTTTTCTTTGAAAAACAGGAACTCAAGCATCTAAAAGACCAATCATTGCTTCTAAGGAGGAACCATTAAGAGCTGCCATGCTAAAAAAGGCTGAAGAATTGCAAAGTATCGTCCTCAAAGAACTCGAGGTATGATTTATATTTTTTATTTGCACATCCCTTCTCGTTTTCACAGAACTCAAAATCTGTTTATTCGAATCAGGCCGCAAGAGATGAAAAGCTTCTTCCGCCCGAGGTTTCCTCACCATTTGCCCGAGAAACTAGCCTTTCTCCTCCTCAGGTCAACCCTTCAGAGGTATCATTTTCTTCCTTTTCAACCTTTAAGTAACTCTATAGTTTATGGACTTAATGCCTGAATCTTCTTCTTCTATCTGTTTTTAGGCTGGGGCATCTGCCTCTTTGCCTAGTCATAGCCCTCCTATGAAGTTTGTGATTTCTACTCCTGCCCTGGATGCAACTCCTTCCTCTCAGTTTGACCCTTCTACGGGAGTTATGTTGCACTTCGTGGATGAGGGCAGTAACTTGGTGAGCCATTATTCCCGAATTGAATTCTTGAATTGAATTCCTGATTAACTCCTACTCACGTTTTCTGCAGCCTTCTTCGGTATATGAGCCACCCCTTCCATCAGTGGTATCAGATAATGAACCCATAGTCCCTGAGATTCCTGTAACCTCAGAGGTA